AATAACATTTTATTTTTATTTTAAATGATTACTGGCAGGCGGCGGGAGGTGGATGCGATCTACAACCTCTGAATTTGCCTAGTAACGATGAATTCGTCGAGAAAATGGTAATATTTTATGAGAAATAGTCTGTATTTCTCATTTTTTTTATTCTTTTGCGTAAAACTAAAATTTATTAAAATATTTTTCCATGATTTATAATAATTGGAGTAATGCAAATGCATATTTTCTAAAAAAAGTCATTTTTAGTGAAATTTTGCCGGGAATGGGGCTTTAAACTAGAAATTTTGTATTATGTTTATAAATCTTTCTAACATATATAAAAATCAGATTTTTCTTTAAAAAAAAATAAATTTGGCCGTGAGTGGGGCTTTAAAGAAAATTGGTCCTGCCTAAGCATTTCTGTGAAATCGCTACTGAGTACCCTTGACAGCTATGTGGGATATAGGGTAACAATTTTATGGAAAACTGGACTATCTAGAATAGTATCAGTTTCATTTGGTGGCTCACAAATTTAAATAATATACAAAAAACGAGAGGAAAGAATATATATTCGATTTGATGCATTTATTACAAAATACAAGATATAGTACCTTTAGTTTGTCATCCACACATAACCAGGAAGCCAAGTTGGCACCAGGTCTGTTGAGGGTACATATAAAGTAACTGTGGAACACAACCACAATCAGGAAGCTTTTGTTTCACATTTTTGTTGTGCTGTATCAGTGGTTAATTTGAGGTGGTTTTTTTTTGTGTGACTCCAGAAAAGCAGTTATCCCTTTTGCATCCTCTTAGGCTTAGAAGTTGTTTTTTTTTTTATGTTTTTATAATAATGCTGAATTATAAATAGGTTCAAAGCACTTTGAGATATACAGTAGGCTGCAATTTTTGATAGTATCGTAGTATAAATACTACTGTTGATTGCAAGGACATGTAACTTTGTTATTAATAGAATTTTTCCATAGAATTAAGGAAGTTACAACAATACTGTATATCAATTCATAATGTTATGATACACTCCATCAAACATTTTAAATGCCTAAGTATTTAATCTGCTGTCCATTGTTCAACTTCTAATTGTTAATTTATATATTTCAGGATTTTCATTTTTGTGGTTTATCACCCAACAGTTGTTATTCTATGGCCATGTTTTTGCAGCACTTACTGTATTATTCGATAAATTATCGGAAAGCAGCCATTTTGTTATTTTTCGCTGCTGAAATGAGGCCCAAAGTTTCCGATAAATTTTTGCATGAGAGTTAGATAATTTACCGGAAAAAGTTCAGAATGAGAAAATGAATAACCTTTGACCGATATCAAATCACATTCATGCAAAGAATTCTTTTGGGTAGTTAGTTTCTTAGGCAACTACTGTAGTAGTAGCCAAACACTTCATAATAAAAAGTGAGTAAATTTTTTGTGTTCATTAAATAACTAAAATGGCTGCCTTCGACGTCAACGATGGTGCGTGGCTGGGCCTACAGTAGCTCTATCCATACTGTAATCGTTTATTGTCGTAAACCAAACAAAGGTTGCATTCTTTTTCCTCCTCTTATCCTTATATAGAAGTACAATCAAGCATCATTGTGACAGTACATTTCCCAGAGTGAAATAGTACCAAACGATTTCGTTCTTGGCCGAGGCCTATCCATCTTGCACAAAAAAAGGGTCACCTGCTAGGCCAACAAAATGAATGTTTTGATGTTGAACACACTGCATTATTGTCTATAATGTTGCATGATGGGTAAAATATTTGGATTGAATTGTAAGATAATTTATCAGAGAAATTATTAGAGAAATTATAAGCGCTGCGGAAACTCGGCCTAAGTCTGTGCTAGTAGAATTTATTATACTTTTGAAGGCAATGCTTGTGACAATGTATGTATATTGATGTATGAACTAAATTTTATTTAAAAAAATAAAAAAAATCTACCCTTCCATATATATTTCATTTATATATATTTCATTAATATTATTTATATGTAAGTCTTTCAATTCATTTGTTATGTAAAAACTTTCTTTATTCCAGATACTAATAGCACTTCAAAACATGTAACTGCTCTCCACATTTCCACCTCATATAGTAGGCTACTATTAACTAGTATACAGATCGTCATATTCTACATCTCAACTGACATCCATGGCCTTTCGTACATATAAATACTTCAATAATTAATATACTTGAATTTCCATTACCGTAATGACAACGATATTGTAAAAATTGAAATTTATCTCAACCTTGTGAGCATTTCAGACATAATGATACATCATTTTTAATACAATTTATTAAACTAGAAGCAGATTCTAAAATACGCACGTCAAATCGTCAATATAATTTTTAATTTTAATTGCCATCCAGTGATTAATGACATTGAGTTTATAAAGATGATAGAATATATTTTGAGAATATAATGATGTTGTTGACAAATCCTACATACAACATCTCACATCTCATCTATTGAATTTTCATTTACGCACTGTAGAAGGAAATGGAAATTGGAAGTTATTGGATGAGTTTTCCGTTTATATTTTATCGGGCACATACAAGGAGGTTAACGATAATGATGGCACTACTTTTTACATTTCATTATTATCTATAGAATTATTCCATTTCTCTGTAATTATGAACACATCACAGCAGGTTTTTGATTAGGAATTCAGCTCATCATCCAGGAACTGGCTTTCTCACAAGTACTGTAATGTCATTTATAATTCATATTTTTTATGTCTATTGTAAAGGATCATTCAAAGCTGTCAGTCACGTTATTGACTGTTTTACATGCACAGTATACAGTATTGAAATGAAACATCAAGATCTGTGTTCTCTGGCTGCGATGCATTGTTTTGAATTTTAAAGTTGAGTTTTAGAGCTAAAATTCTTCCTATTATACTTTTTAGACATTTAGAAGTTTTTTTTTACTGGGACTACAGAATATTTCTCAGCTGTAGGTGGCAGGGATTTAGCCGGGGATGTATGTCAAAAAGATGCAGTCACATTGCCGGGAGGTGGCCGGGAATAGCAAATACACGTAACCCTTCTGTAAATTACATCCCTGTCCAAGTCCCAGCTAGGCCCGGGTCCTTTGGGGCCTGGACTATAATTGACATGTGCAGTATTTTTACTTACTTGACACTGACAGTCAGTTCCTAAGAACTCATTAATATTCACAAGTTCAATCCTTTCCTTGTGCACATATGTAATATAAACATAATAACAGGGGTCCCAAATCTCCCACAAGTTGCGGGAGTCTCCCGGATATAGTGAACAGCCTCCCATACTCCCACAAGAAAGCAAACAATCCGCCGGAGACTTAACCCATCTCCCTCAAATTTCTTGCTTGTATTTACTACTGTATTATCTTTATCTCCATCCCGGAAGTTAACTGGTAATTGGTATCAAGATGCGTTAAAAAAGCACCTTTTCACCATTTCTCCTGGAAGTGCCTTCTTAAAAATTGGGACCTCTGTAATAACCAAAAAATATTTTAAGTACCTAGGCTATGGAGAAAATACCAAATTGAATAGTGGGTCTCTCATTTTGTGAAATGAGAAGCATCAGTGGCGTATCTATGGGTGGGCATGAGGGGGATGCAGGGCCCCCCCAAAAAAATTATTCGCGTGCCCCCTCAAATGAAATCACGGCCAAGTAGTAACAAATCGCCTAAAATCACCATATTTTGTGAAATAGTGCCCCTTAACTGATTATCAAGCTCCCCCCACTTCACCTTCGCGCCCCCCCCAATTCAGCCCCTCCAATTCAAGACTTCTAGATACGCCACTGAGAAGCATACAGATGAAAAGATTGATATTTATTTTATCTGCTACCACAGTTGTTGAACCTGAACCTTAAAGCCATTAATTTTTACAAGCTTCAACACTTGTGTAATTTGAGTAGTAGAACCACTCGTGATATTTATGAACCACTTTGCAATACTTGTTCATTACTTATCAAGTTGGGAACAGTGATAATATTGTACAATGGACATAAATAGTTGTTAATAAAATTTGAACTCTAAAAACTTCCCTTTAAATGAAAGATGTTGGCCTTTCTATCATGTGATTGATTGAGATGCAACTCATCTTTATATAACATCTAGACAATGAACTGAATTTCTAAGGAATTCACTTTAATGCCTGCTTGCATTGCGTACCACGGCGGCATTTTGTACTTAAAAGGCTTTCAGCTTTTAGGAGCACTTTACTCAAGATCGTGATTATTAACAGTCATAATACAGTGATTTTTGTATGTGAGCGATACTGTGTTGTAGACAACGTGAAATGATAGAAACCCTTAGTAGTGGTAAGGACACCATCCTCACGCAATTTGATACTTAGCATCAAAAGCATGCTACTGTAATACTGATTATGATTGCAGTCAATTTGGAGGATGAGATTGATATCCTGAAGCATATTAAAATAGAATACATTTGAAAATGATATGTGTGGTAGCGTATGTATCTGCATTATGTTGCATTGAGAAGTAATAGCTATACTTCATGAATTTACTTCTAGCTGTTCTTGAACCCTTGTGAATAAATAAAAAGCTTGTTATTTGTATAGGAAATTTTAATTTTAATCAGTAATAACAACAACCTATATACCACTTATATGATAGAAACAGTAGTTTTCCCACTTATGTTTACTTTGAATCTTGAAGGATTAAATAAGAACATCTGTAATATCTGACCTCCTTGGTAAACTTAACAAATACTTTAAATTTCTGACACAATGCATACTGTGCTGCTACTATAGTACCTTGTATTGCTAGCAATAGTTTGCCATTTTATTTATTGTTTTTAAACTCATCTGTAACACAATCACCTTAAATTAAAAGCTAGGATTAAAGATTAGGAAAATAAGTGACAGTTGGAGACTTGTGGTTAGCTTTTAGTCCTTCATTCTTGCAGTCTTAAAATGAAATTTCTTTAACACACATTCCTTTAAAATGTCCTCATGATGAGACCACATTATTTATTTCTGGAGTAACATTGTATAGAGTGTAACGATCACATATTCAAATGTCATCATATAATTTCATTTGCTTGTACCATGGCTAATTAAAGTTAAGAAATGAATGTGTTTTTTTTTTTTTGCTGATATTTGAAGTTAATCTATAGAAATGTCCTCATGATGAGACCACATTATTTATTTCTGGAGTAACATTATATAGAGTGGAACGATCACATATTCAAATGTCATCATATAATTTCTTGTACTATGGCTAATTAAGGTCAAGAAATGGATGTGTTTTTTTTTTTGTTTTTTTTGGGGGGGTTTTTTTTTGCTGATATTTGAAGTTAATCTGTAATTGGTGGTTTAAAAGGTACATGCCTTCAATTACATGTACCTTTTAAACCACCAATTACAAGGTACATGCCTTCAATTACATGATCCTGTGTTCGAAACTTATTTTTCATGCAAATCTCCATTCTGAGTCATAATTTCTTAATGAGATATCACATAATCAATCCTGTAAGTGACGAGACACTCATTATTATTTATATATATATTATTATTTATTATTTATTCAGAACTTCGCTTTTATATTAGTGGCACTCTTCTAAGAGGAAGGTGCATCCAAAAAAAATAAACTAAAATTATACAAAATAACAAAAATTAAGCTAAGAAATGGAAATCTGCAAAATAGTACTAAAAAGATTTAGATATAAAAATTATTTTAATGTTTAATTTCTTAATTTGAATCTTGCAGATATCAAGCCTGCCAATGTGTTCATCACAGCCAGTGGAGTGGTGAAACTGGGTGATCTCGGTCTAGGTCGGTTCTTCAGCTCAAAGACAACAGCCGCCCACTCTCTTGTGGGTACACCCTACTACATGTCTCCTGAACGCATTCATGAAACTGGCTACAACTTCAAGTCAGATGTATGGTCTGTGGGATGTTTACTGTATGAGGTATGTATGTGATAAAGCAAATGATATTTTGTTGGTGTCTTACAACTAATTAACGTTTTTGTTGGAAAATCAATTTGAAGGAGCCACTGTAACTAGTGTGTAAGAACAGTACATACAAAGTTTATATAAGTATAAAACTGTATAATTGTATATTTTTTTTAAAATATTGTTTACATTTTTTCCATGTTGAACAATTTAAAGATTGATATGATGTATTTATCTCAGCTTCACATGGTTATGAAATTAAGTATTAATGATATTCCAACCATCATATTAATTAATTTGAAAAGATTATTAATTATTCATATGTTTCTAATAATTGATACTATACAGTACAGGAAAATTAATTTCCTGTCAAGTGAAAATTTTTAATAAAATTATTATCAGCTGTTATGTGTAAACTATAACATTGGTTGGCTGGGATAATTCATTATTGTTTGTTAGTTTGTATTAACACTGATGTTCTATAGATGGCAGCATTACAGTCTCCATTTTATGGAGATAAGATGAATCTGTATTCACTATGCAAGAAGATTGAACAGTGTGACTATCCCCCACTACCAGCTGAATACTACTCTCAAGAGGTTAGTACGGTCCAGTGGCTGTGTTCCCCCAGCCCACTATGTGTTCCTCGTGACACTTTCACTCTTTGTGCTGTGCTTTATTGTGTGCATCTTTAAATTGTTCTCTGTGTAGATGGCTGCTTTGCACTCACCATTCTATGGTGATAAGATGGACCTATTTTCATTGTGTAAGAAGATAGAAAAGTGTGAATATCCACCATTAGAAGCTTCTCTATACTCACGACAGGTGGGTATATCACTCTTCTTGCTCTGCTATAGTCTATTTCTTCCCTACACCAGGGCTTAGCCATTGCCTTCTGGACAAAATGATGACCTTTTGTGCTGTACAATTGCTTCTTGTGTGTAAATAAATTGTGTTGTTGCTACTGCTGCTAAATTAAATATAAAAGGATAAACATTCAAATAGTTCTTGGTCAATCAGTGTATGATTAGTATCCTAGCAACAGCATGGTGTGACTGTAGAATGGCGCCTTAGCCTTGTGGTTGTAATGTTAGCCATCCAGTTGAAATTTGTTAAGTTCCTGGGTGCAAATTCTTATTCAAATTAAAAATTGGTCTGTTTTATCAATTTAATTATTTCAAGTTAAAAAAATATATATGTTTACTCCCTACCAGAGAACAATACTAACTGTTGTTATCTATATATAGTTATAATTAACATTTATTGTAATTAATACTTAATATTCATTGAACAAATTCATTTGGAATAAGCATAAAATGTTCATATTGATTGTTGATACTTAATATTATTTCAATTAATAATTATAAAAATTATTGTTTGGTATTGTAATTGAATTTTTACCTCTAAATTAGGGACAAATTTGAATTAACTTTTTTGTTGTTGTTATAACATACTATATTTTCTTCAAGATTTGGGGGCTTATTTACATAATGTACTGTCTTCTCATTCTCAGATCCATAGTTAAGATCTTGTCAACTTATATATTAATGCATCTCATTATTTAATTTATTCATAAGGCCTCTGGATATCAGCTAACCTGCACCACTTGGAATTGTCACTTTGCTATAAATGTTCAAATATTAAATTGTCATGTGACCTTAGCTTGATTAATTTTCTATCAATTTTATTGTACATGGAGTGATCAAATTTCTACTCCACCATTTACTCTAATTAATAATGCAATAACTTTTAGTTGTTTTTTTTTTTCACAATTTAGAATCATGACTGAGTGTTCTAACAAATTCTACTGTTTGTTCGCAGTAACTAATAAATTTCTCCCCTAACAATAAACATTTGTCAATGTATCTGTTTTTGTTTCGATGCTCCACTTTTATTGCGTATTCTTGCATACCATGGTCGCACATTGACTAGCATTTGCGAATATACTTGTGTATTGTGTGTAATTAGAGTGTGGAAGTCTTTTGCATTGTGAATTGAATATGCTAGTTAACCAGTAGGTAAAGCAAACACTTGAGCGACAGTTGAGTTCAAGATCTATAGTAATGTGTTTCTTTTAAAAATTATATTAGGATTGGAAGGTCAACATACACATTAACTGAAATTTATTAAACGATTGTTTTATTCATATTTTCAAAATAACATGGCTTACCTCTTAACAGCATTATAATGCTGTACTTAATCAATTTTGTGGGAAAAATGAAATATATATTAATTAATAGTAAAATTTACTATTAATTATATGATGTTTTATTTATCCTTCACCTTCTCAAAATTTAAATTGCTCACTGAAACCCACTGATGTTTGCAATATTGTTTCTAAAGTGTATTAGCATACATAAACACAAATTGGTGGTACACATACAGTACATATTTCTGACCTTGTTCTTATTAGTCAGTTGTTCTCGATTGACAACAAAACACCAATATTATTAGCATTTATACATATTGTTAGCAATTGTTATAGTAATTGAGCTCCCAAACCTTGGATTTAGATTATGTTGGTGTGCTAAGCATGCCAAGAGAGAGGATAGTCACAGGATTAATTTCCAGTAGAGACATTCTGGATGGTGAATAGCACAGTACATCGGGGGAAACAATCTCCTGCTCTTGCTGAAAGACTTTCGCTTATTTTCACTAAAATTCTCTCTTTTTATTTCTGCAGTTACGTGAGCTTGTTCAGTTGTGTATTAAGGCTGATCCTGAGGAGAGACCAGATATAGATTATGTACATGACGTTGCTCAGCGAATGCATTCCATCAGCGTCCAATAAACCCAATCCTATGAGTACTAGCATCACCATGGTAATTCCAAATTATGTTCCTAAATGTAATACAGTCATTTCTCCCTGCAAAGTATCTCTCCCCCCCCCCACCCACCACCCCCACTCCTTCATTGAAATTGAATATATGAATAAGAGATTCCAATCCATCACTTCCTCAAAGTCATCCCCAGAATGAAATTATTTGATGTACTGTGTTTCCTGTAAGACTGAATTTGACTGTTTGAATAATTAATTATAATTAATAATTATTATAGTTATTAATTATTTATGTAAGATAAAATCCTATCATTCCATTTTTTATGAAATATGATATTTCTAACTATTGTATTGATATAAAATGTTCCCAGAAATACAGTAGCTACTTGGATGCCTTGATAAATTTGTCGCCTTAATTTGATCAGTCTACATCTTTTCCATTAAGATGTTAGTTATAGTTTGTATTATGTACTGCATGCAGTGATGGGTTTTTTAAAAGGATTGTGAAAAATGTGATGTATCTTAATTGATAATTTCACCAGATTTTTTAAAATATATTTTTGTCAAATATTACTTCTGTGTGATTAACTATGTCAGAAATTATCAAAACACTCATTGATGTGTTATTTTATTATCTTGTCATAGGTCAAATCTTTATATAAATTGTAAAGTGAAATGTTATGACATAGGTTATATTAACATGATTAACAGTTTGAGAGGTAATCTCATCACATTTTCTTATGTCAGAGGTTACCAGAGAATATTTGTTGGTGTACCAGGATATCACAGCACATGTCAATGGTTATCAACACATTTTATTGTGTCAAAGAATGTGAATTATTATTGGCGGGAAAGGTTTGTTATACATGAGAAGAGAGGTTGTATGATTTGTGATAATAAAATATATTTTTTGTGACCAAATGTAAATAGATTAAAATTCTACAATATGTTGCTGACAGAAAATACATTGATTGATGTGCAAGAAAATATTGCTTTAAAAATGAAATAAAACCTCTTTTAATTTATGATATTTGAAACAATAATAGAATATTAGAGAAATCCTTACACATATATATATATATTTAGTAGGGTACACAAATGCAAGACCAAGCAAGATCTTTGTAAAGATATTTTGTAAATAAGAAAATATGAAAAAAAATAAGTTTTTTCTAGAATGAAAACGCAATGGTTATTGACAATTTTTAAGAATCTGTAAGGTGTGTAAGTTGTGTTTGTAAGTTGCATTATCAGTAGAGTGAGTCTGAATATTTATATAACTTTTTGAATTTCAGTCATTACGCAGGTACTTAAATGAAGACACCGTAATTTTGTTCAATTATTTCTATTCTTTAATAAACGTTATTTGTAAAATATATTTATTTACACCTTTTTAGTGATGTAAAGTGGCTATAGACAGTCATTCTCCCCATTTTAGTTTTCAATTCTACAAAATCAAATGATTTCATAATGCATTTTACGATGAAAAGTTTTCTGTTTCATTTAAATAGTTAACACTCTGACTTCAGAAGATTCTAATGGTCAACAAACACCCAATAAATCAATAGATTTGTAAGGACCTTTACTTTTTTGTTGCAGCATATGATTGCAAAATACAATTATTTTTTTGTAAAGATACACACATTGGATAGTCACATGGCACCTACCTACCTAATTTCTTTTTTTCTAGATCTAGAATGTAGTTTATGTTAACTAACAATTTAAACTACAGCCTTCTGGTCTCATTTGTCAGATATAAATGTACAAATATGGGCTCACCTAAATTATCACATGGTCATATGGGATGATGAATAGCAGAAATATGAGTAGATTATGGTAATGTAGTTTGAGGGCAGTATATTTTGTCTTTTTGTTCACATTTGTGAATGATATGCAGTGCCAGATTCTATTAGTGCTTGTTTATTATTGGCTAACGGCGGCATTGAAAATAAATTTATGCATGGTTTGTGCATCCTGTTCCCATGCGCATTTTTCTAAATTAGCCATAATTGGCACTGCAACGATTTGGGTATCATAAAGCTTTGACATGCACATTCAATATGTAGTGATAATGCGGTACAGTGAGGTTGTAATAAGTTGGCTTTGCCAATAACCTGACATATTTAATAGTAGATGGGTAATACTTGATGATATTCAGTGACCAAAAATAATCTTGTAACAGTCTACTCTGTTCCTCTGAAGGAAAATATAATTTTGTTGCAGTTTTGAAAAATGTTCGTCAGATCAGGGAGTGTTATAATCACTATAACTACTCCTGGTCAGATCCAAGTACAGTAATCTTCAGTGAATTTTCGCATGATCATCTAAATACAGATTTGTTTATAATGATGTAGCCATCATTAATCATTCGTTCATAAATATAATTTTTATTTTTATTTATTTGCTGTCGATTACAATAAGAAATAATTATTAATTTTTTATGATGATAATATTTTTTTGAGGATTTACAATATTGCGTAATGTATTTACAAAGTTACAAAAGCTGAACGCCGATTTTTAACATTATTGGTCAATTCTTGTCAAACACACATCGACCTTTGCACAGTACATATGTTTGTCTCAAGTGTAGTTATAAATTGAAGCACAACCTTAATATTTGATCATCTGGAATTTATTTAAATGTGTGCAATGAAACTAGATAGATATATTGTGGTTCTAAATATGGCAAATTAAAAAAGTATCCGTCCACAGCCAGAGGGTCAAGTAGTAAGTTTATGCTATGAATGCCCAAGTCGGGGTAACTTAAGTCTTAAGAGTGTCAACAAACTTATTCATCTTTTCAAAGAATTTGCTCGAAATATAACCTGTTCTTTCCCTTTCAATTTTCACTGTGGTAAAGAAGTGGTATATATATTTTTTGTATTGTAAAAATACCTTGGATAAATTTTTGCCATAAAGTAGTGATTTTTTCTCAAAGTTTCATGGTTAAACACTATTATTTGGAGTATTTGAAAGTATCTATGAATACTCTTGAATATTGAGTGTTTGAAAATGGAATAATTCTTGTAAGTAACTAAGAATTTGTTAGTGTTTTGGTAAACAGCAGGAGTTATCCCGTTTCCATACATAATTGAAACCAGGTGAAATTATATGAGCTTTTTGAGTGTTTGTTAAACATTTTTTTCACATGTAAAGTGATAAAACTGTTGGTGTGTGTCAATAAACCGAGTCATCTTCACATGTGTGTGTATTAATTTTATGTATTTGTGTATAAATATCTCAATCATACATGAACATAATAAGTGATAAAAATGCTAGGGTCCATTTTTTCCAAGATTGTCTTGGAAGCCATTTTGAGATTTCAAAATGGCTGCCACTTTCACAATAGAAGTAACTATAACTCACTGCTATTAGAGCAAGTATGCACATGATTTTTGTACAAAACTCTGTTTTCCATGACAACCGCCCCAATTGTGGTATTCTCACAGGTAGTGGAACCCTATGTTTTGAATGTCAACTTGTCCAATGGTCATATACTCATGGATTATATAAATGGCTGTCATCTTGAATTCCAAAATGGCCGACGAATTCCCAGCACAAACTGCATAGCTTTTTGCAAAAGCAAATATGTCAATTATTCTTTGCAAAACCCAAATTTGTATTGCAAACCTATCAATATTAACCTGTCTTTTTAAAGTAGAAACATAGCCTAATCTTCTTGGACTATAAAGAAAATGATAACGCATCGGAAAAGAAAACAACTAAGACAGAAAGACAACATCCTTTTAGAAGTAAAAGTTATAGTTATATACAATTTGACTACCAGAAAGTGAAAACGAAATATACGCCATTAGCCTTATTTCAGCAATCAAAAGATGGTTTACATCTATTCAGTGGCGGATCCTGGTGTGGGTGGGGAGGGTTCCAGGGGTTCGGACGAACCCCCCTCTGTGTAGAAACGTAACAAAATACAACTGGGTCATGGCTTACAAAAGGCATGCTAACCTTAGGCATAGGTTGGAATATCAGACAAACTAGGCTTAGCCCAACTAGTTTTCAATTACATAAATTATACACACTGTTTTTGGTTCGCCGTCGTAATAATTTATGTACGAAAGTGCGTTTTTCAGGCCTATCGGTTCATCGATTCATGGAAGAAAGACGACATATCTAACTATTCAATGTTGTTGGAATATAATAATATTGCTTGTCTTTGATTTTTTTTCCTCCATGATAGGCCTAAAGAATGAGATAAAATTACTTGAATTACTTGAGGAGGAAAACCCTGAATTTTGAAAAACTTAAAAGTCATTAAAAGACACCTCAGAAGTCTAGAAAGCTCATTTCCCACCATCTAAGAATCAAAATTTTCTTGGGGGACCCCGGGTCCCTTCCCATTTTTATGAAAAAAATGTCTGACACCCCCTCCTCCCCTTCACCTGAATATGGACCTAGATCCGCCCCGGTTAATGGTCATTAAAAGACTCCCCAGAAGTCGGGAAAGCTCATTTCCGGCCATCTAATCCAGGATCCGCCCCTGCTATTACAGTTCATCCTATTTCTTTTTTTCTCTTAAGCTTCCTTACCATTTAGCAATACCAAAACATAAGATCAGCAAACCATAAAAACCATAAAAGATGCAATTACAGTGATGTGAAAAGCCTTTTCACAAGAAACATACATCTCAAGAGCATAATATCTTTTTCCTATTCCAACAGTCAGCCACAAAAAAGTACACACTAATTGGAATATGCCTAAACCAGCTAAATGGATGCTACCTAGGATAGCAGTGGCGTAGCTAGGGGCCAAGTGGGGGTGGTCACGTGCCCCGGGAGGCAGGTTTAGGGGCGCTGAAATGGGAGAATGAGAGAAAAAATAAGCACATTATAGAAAAACACGACGAAATTGATGTATGTCGTCAGGTATTAATATTTTCTAGTTAACAATAAGAATCTATGGTATAAACATAAGAATGAGATAAAATCTCCTGACC